GCGAGTACATTGCAAAGCCCAGGGTATCTGGGGGGAGGAGGGCAGTGCAGTGTAATGGGCGGGGGGGTGTACAGTGAAAACCCCCAGGGGAGCTGACAGCCAGTGCAGTGCCATAGGCACATCCTTGGCAGAGTGGAGGGGACCGAGATGAGCTCAGACAGGTGGGGAGAAGTGGAGTTATAGAACCTGGAAAGGGTGTCAGTGGGGAGAGTGTGTGGGTGTGATGTGGGTGAAACAACAGGGTGTGTCCTAGGAAGGTAACTTTGGTTGCTGTGTTTTGGATGGACCCATGGTGGTGGTTTGTGGGGGAAGAGTAATCCCAATGGGAGCTGGTCAGGGGCTGGGCCAGAGTTTCTGCTGTCAGGACGCACACACGGGTCATTGTCCAAACTCTATAGCTTCTTCTTCCACAATGTTTCAGAGTGCCTGAGTTAATGGGTGGGGCCTACGTGATTGACCGGGAGCAAGCAGAGATTTCCTCTGACACCTTGTACCTGCTGTAGCCTGGGTCATGTCCGGCTAACCAGGGGTGCCCAGCTGCAGCCTCATGCGAGGAAGCGGGGGAAGAGGGAGTGCGTGTTGGCCTGGTCTAACCAGTGAGGTGTGGGAAAACCTGCCACACGTCACTGTGGTAGGGGATGGAGGGTTGAGACTTGAAACTGTGGCTCATTGAAACCATGCAAGCAAAACCTGCTGTTGCAAGACAAGGAATCTTTTGAAACCCAATCCGGCGGGAAGAGTTGACAGCCCTGGGAATATTTGCAGCTGGTGACTCTCTAAACAGACTCTGGGCATAATGAAGGGGCGCAGAGCAAGCTCCTGGATCATCTGAAATCTCTCATAAAGCAAGTCGCTGACTGCCTGGGTTCTCGGTGTTTATTTAAACCCGTTTTCTGAAAAATGCAGCCCCCGCTGCTTCCCCCCCGTCCCAGTAGCTGTTTCAAGCTCTGTTAGGTTAACGGCATTTTGATCACATCAGTTGCTGGATGGAATGTTTCTGTTGTGTCCATGGTAACTCGTCTGGACCTTTCCAAGTGGCTGAATGTTGGTTTGAGCCAGTTTCTCCTTTGGTGGAACTGAAAGGAGACGTCTTTCCGGGCTTTGGACAACGGCTACAGAGACGGTGAAATCCTCACCTCATCGCTCTCCCCCTCTCCCCGGCCCTTGCTGGGGGCTACCCACCCATATTCCCCTTCCTCTCTCCTTACTTGCTGATGCTTCCTCTGCACAGAAAGAGAGGTGTTGAATTAGATTGTTGACTTCCATGCCCCACTGAAAGGAAAATAAGGGGGAATCTCTAACCTCCATAGGGGGGAGGGGAGGCTGCTCTTGGGGTGAGGGACTAGTTCACTGTGTCCACCCCATCCCAAGGTGGGGAGGGGGGAGAAGGCATAAAATCAGCCAAAGCATCATTAAAACTTAGTCACGATGTTTGGGCAAAGCAAACGCTGTACAATGGAAATGTTCTGAGCTAAATACATCCTTAGCGCCATTGCATCGGTGGTGTGGCACCACTGAGGTGTTGAGGTTCAGTAGATCAGTTTCCCACAGCCCTGATCTCCATCCGTCTGGTTTACACCTTCATTCTCTCTTTCAGAGCCTCCACTCCCCTCAGACTCCTCTTTCAAAGCTCTTCTTTAAATTAACTCTTTGCCTGCTGGTCCCTCCAGCCAAGAATCTCAAAGGCCTTTAACTCACTCCTGTTTGTAATTCATGACTCTCCCATGTGGTAGGTTATCCCCATTTTTAGAGATGAAGAAACTGGTGGCACAGGAAGGGCAGAGCTAGAGATAGAACCCAGGAGGCCTGACAGCTAGCTTTGCATGTTCACTGCAAAACTATCAGTCCCTTCTTTCTTCAAGATGTTGTCTTTTCTGATTTGGCTTTTCTCCCTGGTCTGCTTTTACCATCAGTGTTTTCTGTCTCTTTCTTCCCTCACTGCTAGGTGTATCTTTTCCATAGCTGCTTCTCCCTCCCCATGGACTTTAGTGTTTTTAGAATCCTAGAACTATAGGGGTGGAAGGAACTCAAGAAGTCCTCAAGTCCAGCCCCTTGTGCTGAGCTAGGCCCAAGTTAACCTAGACCACCCTTGAGACATGAGTTTGCCCAATCTGGTCTTTAAAACCTCCAGTGATAGGTTGTGGAATCCCCTCCTTGGAAGCCTATTCCAGAGTTTAACTACTATAGTTAGAAAGTTATTCCTAAAATCTAACCCTAAATCTCTCTTGCTGCGGATGAAGCCCGTTACTTTTTGCCCTGCCTTCAGTGGACTTGGAGAACAATTGATCACCATCCTCTTTATAACAGTCCGTAACATATTTGAAGACTGTTACAGGTCCTTCTTCAGTATTCTTTTCCCAATATTTTTAACCTTTCCTCAGAGATCGGGTTTTCTAAACCTTTTATCATTTTTGTTGCTCTTCTCTGGATTCTCTCCAATTTGTCCCCATCTTTCCTATAGTGTGGTACCCCGAACTGGACACAGTACTTCAGCTGGGGCCTCACCAGTGCTGAGTAGAGCGGGACAAAACAATTACTGCCTATGTCATACATTCAACGCTTCTTTTAATGTGGCTTGGAATATTAGCCGCCTTTGCAGCTGCATCATGCTGGTGACTCTCACTCAATTTGTAATCCACTATAACCCCGGATACTTCTCAGTAGTAGAACCGCCTAGCTGATTATTTCCCATTTGTAGTTGTGTATTTGATTTTTTTCCTTCCTAAGTGAAGTACTTTGCACTTGTCTTTTATTAAATGTCATGTTGTAGAATTCAGACCAATTTGTCAAGGTCATTTTTAATTCGAATCCTGCCCTCCAAACTGCTGGCAGCCCTTCCCATCAGGGTGTCATCTGCACATTTTCTAAGAATACTCTCCACTCCGTTATCCAAGGCATCAGTGAAAATATTGAATAGTACTGGACCCAGGACTGACCACTGGGGGATCCCGCGAGCTACGGCCTACCAGTTCGACAGCAAACCATTGATAACTGCGCTGAGTACGGTCTTTCAACCAGGTGTGCACTCATCTTACATGAACTTCATCTAGACCACATTTCCCTGGCCTGTTGATGAGAATGTCCTGTGGTACTGTCAAACATCACCTTCTTCCCCATGGGCCTGATAAAACCCCATTGGAATGAATGCGTGGGTCTCACTGAGTTCAGTGGCCTTTGGATCAGGCCCCTGGTGACTGGAATGCCCTGGGCATGTTGAGAGAATGATGCACATTCATAAAGGGAGTTTAATATTTATTCAGAGGTCAAGCCCAGCACCGAGACCTGCAAGCTTGATTCAGCTTGGTGGACTGTTTTCTAGCAGTGCAACGGCAAGTCGCATTCCCCTGCACAGTACAAGGTCCTTGGACTCTCTATGCAATCCTGATTAATAATTAGGATCTTTTGTGGGTTTTAACTTGGGACAAACTGATAAACAAAATGAGTATTTCATTTTCCAGTCTCTTATTTTTCCTCCCCCCTCCCCAATGTTTCCACCACCAGAACCAGACTCCGAAGCTGCACCTGTGTTTCAAATGGTTTTTTTGAACAACGCCCAAGGAAGCTACGTAATATTGGCAGGGCCAGTTGCTCAGCTCCTGCCTCCCAGTTCCCTGCTCTAGCCACTGGACTGCACTGCCTCTGGATTTGTACACTTACTAACCTTTCATTCCTCTCCCTTGATTGCATCTCTACAGGAACTGTGAAGAGGTAGCATCTCACCGACAGGTTGTCTCCTCTGTAGCTGGCTGGCTGAATGGAAGCCACTGCAGGAGTGAAGAGAAGAGAATGTGGCTGATGGCGGAAAAGGACTTTGTCTGTTTCCTGCTCCCCGTCATTCCCAGCCAGTAGAGCATGGCAGTTGTCTTCTCCCCTTTTGATGTTACACCCCTTCCTTCCATTGAGACCTCTAGACCAATCAGCGATATAGGCAGGACAGCAGAACTGGGCAGCTGCTGAAGTAATTTATGCGGCAGCTCACGTGGCCCCAGTGGGAGATGCCAGTCCATTTCAAAATGCACCCACTTTGGCGCCTGGAAAAACAAGTGCTGTCGAGTGCATTGGTCGGGTATGGGTTTGGCATGGGGCGTCCCCACCCTCAGTGACCACTGAAGTTAGCCAGGCTGCCATGTTTTGCAATCGTCTGATAAATGGCAAGTTAGTTCCAGTGCAGAAGCGGGAATCCCATCAGCGACAATGGATCAATCCACAGGATTTTGGAATTAGTCAGCCACGGGATGCACGCTTTCTGGGATGTCCGAAACTGGACTCCACAGTGCTCTGTGGGGACCGATACTGCCCCAGCAGAGATGGAGAAGAGGAACAGAGAATCCTTTTCTCTCTCTCTCTCTCTTTCCTGTGATTCCCTAAGGCCATGTGCTGTGACACCTCTCCCAGGCATGGCGTTAGGAAGATCTGTTACCGAAAAGTGGTAGGTTGATGCCAAACGCCCATAGGTGTGTATTCCATTGCCTAGCTCAAAGGAGGGCTTAGACTATATGTATTCTGCATTGGAAATGGATCTAGAGAAATGTTCCTTTAAAACATAACATGGCTCCATGGATGAATCCCCAGCACTGCCACTGTCTGGCTGTGTGACCTTTGTCTGTAAAATGGGAAGAGCAAAACTTGCTTCTCGTTGGCGACTGCAGGGAGATCTGCTGGCGGGAAAGGCTGTGTTGGTGCTAAGTCTTAGCAGGCTATTTGCTTTGTAAAATCTGAGAGCAGATCGCCGTCCTGTTTCTTTCATGAGCCTGGTGATGGTCCATCGGTTCAAGTGCTAATGTGTAGGGATCCATTTAACATGCTATGAAACTCGCAATCAGTTACCTGGCTACTTTAAAGCCAAGCAATAATTCTAAAAAAAAGAAAATGAGTATATGCCCAGCAAGGTAAGAACTAGCAGCTCAGATTGGGCTCAAGGTCCATCAGTTCTTAAACCTACGAGCTTGGGGTGCGTTATGTTTAAGTTCTTCCATTCCTGTCACGTCACCTTTGCCAGTAGAGAAGGTGGTAGCACGGGCTTAATTTGTCTTGTAACTGGTGATTCTAAGGGGGGGCAGCAAAATCCTTCCAATCCCAAGGATCCTCATATTACTCCTCTTCTGAATCGGACCATCAGGGTCACCCCCTTTCCTGAATATCAATACTTGGCTATTTCATACGGCTTTTCTCATCTTCAGAGCCTTGCACAAACATCAGTTCAACCTGGCAAGTCCGGTAAGTATAATGATCCTCGTTAAGATGATGGGAGACAGTGAGGTACAGAGAGTCTAACAGGTCCCATAAGTTTGTGTTGGAGTCATGTTAGAAATAGTACCCGAAATTGTCATTGTGGGAGACTAACTTTCTGACTATAGACTGGAGAGCAAATGCTTCTGGCAGTGGTAGGGTCCAGTTATTTCTGGATGTGATCGCGGACAGATTTTTAGTTGGTAACTAAGGTTTTTGATTACAAAAGGGCAGATCTTGGGGAAATTTCAATGTGCAGGAGGGGTTCGGAATATGACATGGAATTTGTATCCCGGCATGGGGGAGAAAAACTTATGGAGAAGCTCTCCAGTTCTAGCTGGTTGAAGAACCAGCTCAGAAAGGCTAGTAGGAGGAAACAGAGAGCCTATGAGAAAGAGATTGATCAGCAAACAAAAGCTCCATGTTGGTGTTGAAAGCGTAGGGAGAAAGTGAGATTTGTCAAAAGTACTTCGACCTTGCAAACGAAATTAAAACAAATAGTAAAAGATTCTTTGGCTATATAAATAAAAAGTGCAAGCAAAGAAGTGGGGTTGCCATGCAGCGATGATGGGGTAGAAATTAAGTGTAAGCTAGGAATGGTCCAAAAACAAAGGAATACTTTGCCTCAGTTTTTAGCAAGGCTGAGGATGGAGAACACGGGGTGGCAAAGGCAGGATGACTAGTGCGAATGAGCATCTAGAAATGGAAATAACTACATCTGAGGTAGGAAGCAAAGAGTTTGTGTTCTGGTTGGGGAACCAGATAATCGTCATTTCAGAACACTGAAAGAATGGATACTTGAAACTGCAAGTCCAGTTGCAAGGATTTTTAACACATCTATCAAATTGGGTGTGGTAAATATGAATGGAGAATAGTAAATATGTCTATATTTAACAAAGTGTGTGTGTGGGGAGGGTGTGATCTGGGAAACTATAGACCCATTAGTCTGACCTCAGCAGTATGTAAGGCTTTAGAACAAATTTTGAAGGAACAAATAATTAACTACATGGAGGTCAATGGAAAATGCGATGGAATGCAACACAAGTTTACCAAAAATAGTGCCGGATAAACCTGATATTTCTTTCGATAAAGTAAATGATTATTTTAGATGGGAAATTCAGTAGATCTAATCTATTTGGACGTCAATAAAGCATTTGATACGCCACAGGAAATTATTAGTTAAACGGGACAAGATGATTAGTACAGAACTGTAAAATGGGGAAGGAACTAACTAAAGGGGAGATGATAATGGGCGGCGCTGAAGGACTGTCAGGATGGAGGGAGGTTCCTAATGGAGTTACCCAAGGTTTGCTCTTGGGTCTAATCTTTAATATTTTCATTCATGACCTGGGCATGAAAAGTAGGAGTGCGCTGGTGAAATCTACTGAAAACCCAAAATTGGGAGGCACAGTCAATATGTAGGAAGATTGGAATATTAGAGAAGAAGAACTGGATGATCTAGAAGACTGGAGTAATAGTAAATGTTATACCATTTCTAGTACAAAACACAAGGTCATGCACTGAGGGTCTAATCATTTTCTCCTAAAAGCTGAGGGCATCACAGTTGAAAGTGACAGGAAAAAGACCTGGGTGTATTAATTGATCCCAGGATGACTACGAGCTACCATTGTGAAGTGGCTGTGGAAAAAGGCAAATGCAATCCTAGGAGGTATGTCCAGTAGCGATGGGAAAGTATTAATACCATTGCACAAGGCACTGGACAGGCCTCAGCTGAAAAACTATCCAATTCTGCTCACCCATGTTCAAAAAAGGGGAATTTAAATTGGACCAGGTGCAGATCCAGGAGGTCCCTTCCAAGCCTATGTCCCTATGATTAGGACTCTGGTGTTCCTAGCTCCCAGGCCAGTACTGCAATGATTGTTGACTCTCTAGAATACAAGAATGAGAATACTTGGCATTTATCAGCCAACGAGGTCAGAAGTTGCCCATCTTGCAGATTTTTCTTTAGAACTTCTGTCTTCTTGCGGGGTTTGATAACGACAAACCTACTCAGTCCATTAACCAAGCTGATGGATCTTGTATACTCTACAGACCAAGTAATTCCATATCCAAGGACGTTATAAAGTCCATCAAGAAAAGAGGAAGTTTGCAGTATTTATAAACTGAGAGTGCACCGCTGGGCTAAAAGTCTCTGGCATAGGCCCAGGATCAAAGAATTTACGAGCTCTGTTAGCACAGACTGCAAATTGCCCAAGCAAAATACCTTCAGCTGTCTCCTTTAGCTTTAAAAACCCCAGGGAAATTAATTGCAAAAAAGTGGTCTTGATACTGCAAGTTTAGTGTTGGATCAAGTGCTCAGAAGGCCTGTGCTATACAGGGGGTCAGATTAGATGGTCACAATGGTCCCTTCTGGCCTTGGAATCTATGAAAAATGATGACTAGGAATGCCAAATTAAAGCTACTTTCTCAATGTTGCTGAAATTCAGTGTCTTAGCTTCCGGTGTTCTTTGTTAACTATACAACTTAGTATATTGCTTGCTTGTTAAATCCCCTAGTGAAACCAGCAGGATGTGCAATGTGCCAAAGTTAATGTCCTAAGAGCAGCATTAACTTCTCCGGAAGTCTGAGAGTTTGAAAGTCTCTGATTAATTAGATAGTGTCTGTGAAGCATGTGGAATGTGGACAGACCTATTTAAAGGAAGGCTAAGCGTTATCAACCTTAATATTGCATTAGTGCTAAGTGGGGTTGGGGAGCGTGGTGCATTTAATGTGCATTTGATGGTGTGATGTAAGTAAATAGTGTGTTGGTAAAGGCTGCACTGTGGATTCACTCTCCTGCTGGGTAGCTAGGTAGCTCTGTTCCTGACAGCAGGACAGAAATCTCTCTTTAAGGCAGACTATTTTTCAGGTGAACTTCCAGAGGGATCCAGTTCAGAATTCCAGGGGCTTTGAACTTCCCAAGGAGTTTATCAGTGGGGTTAAAAAAAAAAATACCCAAATAAAGTGCCAGTGGGAAAAGCATCTGAAACCTCCACTGTCCCGCAACATTAGCACTTGGCTGATGTTGGGCCAGGCTGGCTCAGGGGAATGGTTATGGGGCAAGGAGCTGTTCTCATCCTAGGTTGCTGGTTCAGTTCCAGTCCAGAGGGGAAGGCAAAGGTCATGATGGCTGTGTGGCAGCCTCCATGCAATGAGCTATGGGATCCCAGTACAGTTCCTAGGGAGCAGGTATCAGTTGTAACACCAGAGTTGGAAGGTCCAAGCAGAGAGGGCCAGGAGTGAGGAGCCCACAGAGACTCAGCCTGGCGATGTTGCCAACGCCACATAGCAGGAAGTCACCAGACAAATCTTGAAAAGTTACTACATGTAGCTGTTTAAGCACTCAAAGGAGTCTAAAATGTCACTCAATAAAATGTTCAGAGTATTCAACAGAGAATTTTATACACACACACGCACATGCCCAGGCGAGTATAGTCACAGTCAGTCGCGAGCAGCTCAGTAGTGTTGTTAAAATCGATTCCATGCTCCTCTTACTACATTCTGTTGGACACCAAGTCAATATTACGTCTCAATTGAGCATGTCCTCAGACACCACCCTATATCGGAAACCTACTAACCGCTATACTTACCTACGTGCCTCCAGCTTTCATCCAGACCACACCACACGATCCGTTGTCTACAGCCAAGCTCTAAGATACAACCGCATTTGCTTCAGTCCCTCAGACAGAGACAAGCACCTACAAGATCTCTATCAAGTGTTCTTAAAAATACAATACCCACCTGCTGAAGTGAAGAAACAGACAGAGCCAGAAGACTACCCAGAAGTCACCTACTTTAGGATAGGCCCAACAAAGAAAATAACAACGCCACTCGCTGTCACCTTCAGCCCCTAACTAAAACCTCTCCAGCGCATCATCAAGGATCTACAACCTATCCTGAAGGATGATCCTTCACTCTCACAGACCTTGGGACACAGGCCAGTCCTCGCCTACAGACAGCGTCCCCCAACCTGAAGCAAATACTCACCAGCAACTACGCACCACACAACAAAAACACTAACCCAGGAACCAATCCCTGCAACAAACCCTGTTGCCAACTCTGTCCACATATCTATTCAAGGGGCACCATCACATCAGCTACACCATCAGGGGCTCATTCACCTGCACATCTACCAATATGATAGATGCCATCATGTGCCAGCAATGCCCCTCTGCCATATACATTGGCCAAACCGGACAGTCTTTATGTAAAAGAATAAATGGGCACAAATCAGACATCAAGAATTACAACATTCAAAAACCAGTAGGCGAACACTTCATTCTCCCTGGACACTCAATAACAGACTTAAAAGTGGCAATTCTTCAACAACAAAAACAGACTCCAACGAGAAACTGCAGAACTGGAATTAGTTTGCAAACTGGACACCATCAAATTAGGTCTGCATAGAGACTGGAAGTGGATGGGTCACTACAAAAACTAATTTCCCCCTGCTGATACTCACACCTTGTCAACTGTTTGAAATGGGCCACTTTGATTACATTGGACTCATTAGCACCACAAAAGTGATTTCCACCCCTTCTTGTCAACTGTTGAGAATAGCCCACTTCCACCTTAATTGAATTGGCCTCATTAGCACTGACCCCCCCCCCCCACTTGGTAAGGTAACTCCCATCTTTTCATGTGCTGTGTATTTATACCTGCCTACTCTATTTCCCACTCCATGCATCTGATGAAGTGGGTTTTAGCCCACAAAAGCTTATGCCCAAATAAATTTGTTAGTCGCTAAGGTGCCACAAGGACTCCTCATTGTTTTTATCCTCCGAAGGAATCACATTCCAGGGCTTCTTGGGCTGAGAGCACTATAATCTGCAGGCAAGGAAAAGAAGTTCGTGGTGGCTAATTAAATACTTTGCTAAAGCCAGGCGCACTTTGGAGAGAGAAGCACATTAGCCAGGGCTTGTTTTTAGCCGCATGTGTTCTTTCTCACCGCTCCATAGTATGTTGCACGCCCTGTGATGCAGGGTGAGATGGCTAATGAAGCAGGCAGAGCAGGGGAGGCAGGCTAGCTAACCAGGAGGGCTGCATGGATGGAAGGTGGGGTGGAAGGAGACAGGGCCATGTGCCCCAATGGAGCGGGGGCACCAGGCCTCCAGGGAGGAAGCCTTTACTATAGGATCAAAGGTGGAGTACCTTGACTTCAGCTTCCCTTTTACTCCTTCCCCTGGCTTGGCCTGGGGTTAGCTGCCCAGCTCTTCTCAGAAATCAAACTCTGGAAGGGGTCTGGCTAGAGGACTTTTTTTTTTTTTTTTTAAATCTACTTTCTTGGCTCCCTGCAGGCCGAGCTCATGTTAGGTGAATGCTTTCTTCCCCCTGGCTCTGGGCCCTCCCTTTCACTTACCTGTCGGCTCACATCCAGGCTGCCTAGAAAGGGAGGCTAGGCCGAAAGGCAGTTTAGGCTAGTGGATTGAGCAACTCCTGAGGTCTACTCCTAACTCTTACTCACTGGGTTTTCTTCCTGGCCCTGGGAGGAAGGATCTTCTCCCGTGTGTGCTCACCAGGCCATTTGATGGGAAAGTGCTGACTGAAAGCCGATCACGTGGCAGTACTCTCGTACAGGAACCTTGCAGGAGTTAGGGGAAGGTTTCCTCTTAAAAGTTCTCCCCTTTCTCTTTCCCCTCCAGATCCCCGCTAAAACGATGACCAGGCTGACCAATTTTAGCATTGACGCCCCGCGCTGGGACCAGAGCACTTTTCTGGGGCGCCTAAAGCATTTCTTCAACATCACAGACCCGCGGACGGTGCTGGTGTCGGAACATGAGCTGGACAGGGCTAAGGCGCTGGTGGAAAGCTGCAGGTAAGTGGCCGGGCGGCCACTGGATTTGAAGGAAGGTAGAAGGCTGTTTGCAGCCTGCCCTTGCTGTATGTGAGAGGTAAACCTCTGGGGTGAGGAAAGCTTCCCTCTCTGTTCAGCAGTGGTATTGTACCCTCGTCACCACAAGGGGGTGACACAGCATGTGCTGGAGCAGACAGTACGTTCGGTCCAGCCGAGAGCGGGAGCAACCCCATGCCAACCAGTAGATTGCGTGTGCTCAGCCCCAGGGGTTGGGATCAGGAGGGGCATCTCACATTGCGCAGCAGTGTCTTTGGCTTCTTAAGGATCTGCACCAGCAGGTCCCGTAGGGAGCTCTCATGCAGCCCTTCCGGGTAGGTAAGGTGGTGATGGTATCTGGACATCCTAGAGGTGGTGGGGCTGGAGAGCAGGGGTCTTGCTTAGTGCGGCGATACCGAGGGGGAGAATATGGAAGCTCCCCTTTCAGAGCATATACCAAACACATCCTTGCCCCAGCTGAGCCGTGCTCACCTAAGCCCATTCTGTAGACACACTGCAGGCATGGCAGTATGTGAAGGCTGGAGATTAGCAGGAGTGTGATACTAGCTGGGGATAGTGAGCTGACAAACTCCCAGGACGTTGCCCTTTCTGTTACCTGCAGGGCTGGCCTGGTTCCCCCAGGAACCAGCCAGGAACAGCTGTTCTATGCCAAGAAGCTCTACGACTCTGCATTCCACCCAGACTCTGGCGAGAAGATGAACTTGATTGGGAGGATGTCCTTTCAGGTGCCCGGGGGAATGGCCATCACTGGTTTCATGCTGCAGTTTTACAGGTAAGGGGCTGCAGGGGGCAGCGAGAGCCCCTTTCCCAGTCCCCTTTTAAAGCTGTCCCTGTTAGGCTGAGCAGGGAATTGACCGCAGTGAGTTGCAGGAAGCCGCGTCGGACCGTATGGATTAGCTCCCTCCTGGTGGCGAAGGGCAGGGGGACAGACTCAGCAGCACCATGGATTCTAATGTCAATCCCACCAGCATAGATGCCATGGTAACGGGCACGGCCTAAACACTTAGCTAGAGGGGAGATGCAAGGGCTGGACCACATGAAGAGAAACCGGATCTTCCATCTCTGAGCCTTTCTGACCACTCAGTGCAGCATCCTCCTGAACTATTAACATGGCCAGGACCTTTACACCTCATGGGCAAGGTAATTTCCCCAGGATTTCCAATCCAGTCTCATGTTGGAGCTGACCCCTGTCCTGAAACATTGGTGATCTTCATGCAGGCAGACAGATGGGCCTAAGTAGCACTTTTAATACGCTGCTAGAATGTTATTTACAGGTTGTATTCCTTGCACTATGTGCTTGCCCTCGACCTTGGGTTCGCGACCTTTGGGCTAGCCTCTCAGTCCTCCCTCTCCTCTCCGTATAGTTGTTGCCTGGTCTAGAGATTGTGTATTAATTATATTGATTACTTAAGAATTCCCCAGCAACTCTCCCGAGCCCAGGCCCAGTATTATTAAAATTACGGTTCAATTGGGAACCCCGATGTGCACGGTTGCAACGCTCACTCTTGGGAAATACCTTCTGTATTTGTATTAGTTTTATTAACACACTTAGTGAAGTTGCAAACACTCCAGCCCAGCATGGTAGATGGAGCTAATACAGAGTGGGCATCTGTATGCTCCCACCGCCCTTTGCAGAAGGACTCAAAGTGTTCGTCCTCCTCACCCTCAGTGTCCCCATCCTGGCATCTCCCATGTGTTACATCTCCCCAAGGCGTACAGGCCAGGATACAACTTTTATAATGTGTTATGCTGACGTCGCTGTGCTTAATGCATGTTTAGGAGGGTTTTCTTTGTATTTCCTCGCCCTACTAATGTTGGGGTGCCCTTCTCCCATAGGTTACATGTTCGTTTACTTCAAACTTATTAGCGTCTATGCCAATTAGTTACCATGACATTCTTGTGGTCAGACGACCCTCCGTGGTGTCATAGAATCAGAGAATATCAGGGTTGGAAGGAACCTCAAGAGGTATCTAGTCCAAACCCCTGCTCAAAGCAGGACCAATCCCCAACTAAATCATCCCAGCCAGGGCTTTGTCAAGCCTGACCTTAAAAACCTCTAAGGAAGGAGATTCCACCACCTCCCTAGGTAGCCCATATCTTATGATCTAGGCCTACTCCTAGTTAGCATAAGCAGTTAAGTCTTTTGGGCTGTACGCCTTGTTTAGCTAAGCTATTTTCTTACAGGACTGAGGCCTGCAAGATCATTACTTTACTGCCTTAACTTATGCTCATGCCTGACCTAACAAATACCTGCACCGACAGCTACGCAGTCTAGGCTTGTGCCAAGCCCCCACAGCTTCCTCCTCCGCCATGTTTTGAAATTCTGGCCCTTCCACCCAGCCACAGGAGCCTAAATGTGGTCACCATAGAAACCCTGAGCTTGTGGAGGAAACATGTCCTTGCTCTGAGGTTACAGCAAGTGAAATTACTTGTCACCATTTCTGCCCATTCATCTTTTTGGGGGGGGGTGTTAGTTTAAAAAAGGGGTGAAAGGTAAACTGGTCAATTTCACTGTCCCGCCTTCTGATCAGTTTCGTTGTCAGGTTCCAGCAAGACATGGCCGGGTTGGGATTTGCATCCCGGCAGGGAAATGTTAAAACGCAGCACAAAGACACCATTTAAAAAAAAAAAAAGGCCTGCTAACATTTCTGTTTCATTAGATTTAAATCCCTCCTCTCTGCCCCGGCCTCTAACACCTCCAAATATTTGGGCAAAAAGTGAGTCCTTTGTCCAATTAAAACCATGTCTTTCCTTTGCTTCACTCGCACATTTTTCTTTATCTTATTAACCAATTCTGCTGTTGATTAAAAGCCCTTTAATTATTAACCCAAAGCCAGTCCTGGGCTCTGCCTGCTCTTTTTTTAAACTTGCCTCTCCTGGTTCCTTTGTATCCTCTGAAATCCCGGATCCCACCTCTCCCAGCGAGTGCCACTGTTGAAGAGAGACAGTTCCTAATCTGTAGCACAATGTTTTCCTTTCTCGCCCTTGAAAAAACCTCTCCTGCTCTGGTGTGTGTCAGTGGAATTAAAAGGTTCCCCCGTGTTTGCCTTCCTCCATGTCCCTCCTATACCGTTCAAGGAGAATGTTCTGTAGGGAATGATCCTGCCCTGACTCCAGACAACAGACTAGGCGGGGACCTTTTCCAGCTCTAGTGTAGAGTCAGACGCTGGCGGGTTGGTTTGCTCTCCTCTGGGAGGAGCCTGACAAGACCTCCTCACTAGGAGGGGGAGGAGTAAAAAAGGCCCTTAGCTCTGCCTCTTTTCTAAACTCGTATTGCCATTGGCTACCTGGATTGCCAATGACCAATCGGATTAATGAAGGTGGAGTCTCCCTTTGCCTGAGCAATAAACTGTTTGGCTCAAGATGCTCTCAGCCATTATCTTTATCCCTTTCCTGGCCTTTAAAGGGCAGAGCATCCAGTCTGCCCACAGATCCCCAAGTGCTTTGCAGACAGTGAAGTCACGCTGGCAACCCAAGTGAGACAAGGAACGAATCCCCTCTGCCCCCATTTGACAGATGGGTAAATTGAGGTGCAGGGAGTGAGGAGCCCGAGGAGTCCCCATGAGTCGCTGGCGGAGCTGGGGATCTCTGCCAGGATCCTTAGTCCCACCCACACGCCGTCACCACAGACCGTTCTTCCCTTCGAAGGGGTAGGGACACGCCAGGCTGTGGAGCAGAACTCAGCCAGGTTGATGTAGTGCCTGCTGGAGTGAGTGGCTGTGGGGGCGGAGCCCACCACAGCCCCGCCCCTGAGCTTGGCAGTAATGAACAAATCCCCCAGGAGCCCTCCCTGCCCAGCTGAGAGCCCAGGCTCCTGCCCGCTGCTCGGCCCCCTTGCTGCTCGAGCGGAGCAAGGCCCAGTGGAATGGGACCCAGGACCCCTGGATCTTTTCCCAGCTCCGCCACTGCCTGCTGTGGGACCCCAGGCAGGTAGCTGTGTCTCAGTTTCCTTCTCGGCAAACTAGGGGGGATGTTTACTCTCTCACACTTACCTGCACGCTTTCTAAAGCCCTCTCAGGACGGGTGGGGGAGGGGTTGGGTGTGTGTTGTGTCCCCCAAAGACTGGCCCCATCTGACTCCAGACGGGCAGTGCCTGCAGCTGCAGTGGGGTCTGGGTGTCTTGTGTGTATCGCACCCAGCGTTTATCCTTCCTGCGCGTACCCGCCA